TGAAGGTATAGATGTTGCTACCGTTGGTACAGTTGGTTCTTCTATTATCACTTCTAGGGTATCAGAAATGTTTTCTAAAGTCACATCCCTCTGTATTCTTGATTTCTGTGCATTAGAGCCTTTGCCAGAACGCCTGAATTCTTTTTGCAAGTCTTGTATTTGTTGTAACAGTCCTTCTTTTTCATTGTACTGTTCCTCAGTCCCTGACCTAAAGATTAGCGAAGGTACAATAAAAGCATTTAATAAATATCTGTTTACAACCATGAAGTTATGTTTATATTTCAATAAAACAGAAAACAATGAGTGTTTTCATGTGATGACACAAGTTCTATTTTTCTTACTCATGAAATATCAAAAGATAAAACATTTGTATCAACTTGTGTCACTGAATGAGAAGTCTCCGATATTATTTTAATAACGCATCAAAGGTTTCTTTCCTTTCAGAAGACATAGTCGACACAAGCATTGTTCTATCTCCCTTTATTTCACTCTATGTATTCAATAAATAACAAAGATAGAATAACATTGGTGTCTTCTGTGTTTCCTAAAAGGAAAGCAATCCAAGAGGACACGGCAATTATCAATGTCTTAGGTAATTAATTAGAATAAAGCGATATGTGCTTGCTTACTTCTTCAAATGTGCTCGGCCTTCTCTAGTCCAGATTTTCAGCAGGTGATCGACGTGCTCCTTGACGCAGCGTAAACTGAAGTTCTTCTGCGTCGCGTTCACGACTCGCTCGGCGACGGTTTTCCACCTGTCGCCCTCCTCGTACGGGTTCTGTCTCGAGACCTCTCGTAAAAGTATCAAATCATCCAGAATTGTAAAGCGAAGCCGCTCTGGTTTCGCCATCGGGCCTGATGGTGCACACTCTCATACGGATGTCTCGCCGTGTAGCAGTCTTTGTCGTAGCCTTGCCGAAAAGCGCGAACGCTCTATCTTTTCCGCAATAACATAGCAACATGTCATTGTCGAGAAGAGATGTCTCCTCGTACAGTGCACGATTTACCTAGCTTTTTTGATGAAACTCAACATGGCGGATTCGATATACTTTGCATTACAGTAAATAACTTTAAACCATCTTTACCGACCGCGGATAAAATCATCTACATTGTATATCGATCGAGCATTTTTCTTTTCAATTATTGTCCGATTTGTCAGTGTTTCCCCTAACCTCGAAAACGTAAAAAACACAAATCGTTTGCTTTGATTTTCAAGAAAAAAGATTAAGGTTACTTTAATTTTCAAGAAGAAAGGTTAAAATTGCTCTTGTCACTTACTTTTTCGTGAAAGATCGTCAAAACTTTATCAGTAAGTGTGCTTTTTATCTTACATTAAAAAAATTTTAAATAAATGTATCCACCTCCTGGATATTCAGAAATTAACCGATTAAAAAGATGAATAAGTGTTAATTATACGATGAAATTATATTGTAATATTATTAGGAAAATTATCTTCAAAGAATGTTAGAGATAACGTGCAACGATCGTCTCGGTAAAAAGGTTAGAGTGAAATGCAACCCAGACGACACCATAGGAGACCTGAAAAAATTGATAGCTGCCCAAACTGGAACACACTGGGAGAAGATCGTATTAAAGAAGTGGTACACCATTTTCAAGGACCATATAAAGTTGCAGGACTGTATCCTTTACTGTGAAAAACCGAGTCAAAATATTTTGTCAAATATCTTGTATTTCTTAAGAAATCTTTTCCTTAATACACTGCCTCAGATGAGATACATGACGGCATGAACTTAGAACTCTATTATCAATAATTCTATATAAAATAACGTTACATGTAAGCATTTTTAATATAACGTCATAATTATTAAAATTTTTATTTTCTTTTCTATGTCTAAATATGTAATGTTTATTAAACTTTATTTTCTTTCCTATGTCTAAATATATAGTATATATGTATATGTATAGAAGAATAAATGGTTAAATATAAAATATTAAATGGTCACAAAAATGTCAACAAGGAAAATTTCTATTTTTGCATTATACAAGCCTCATAAATATCGCTATATTTTAACAATGTCTAATTTATTCTACAAATTAATAGTTTCAATTGTGCCATACGTAATATAATGTATGCCATTTGATATTAGTGCCTTTTATGACTTGCATATGCAGGATGTAACTTGAAAGTATAACAAAGTGATAATGCTAAAAGAAAGATGATCTTGTTAGGCATATGAACATCTTTATCCTACAGCAAGTACTTTGCTTTTGTAGTTCTGCTACATATTTTGATCACATCCTGTATATTCTATATAAATATCTAAGTATAAGAATTTTTAGTTTTATAATATTCAATAATTTCCACTCAAATATTACTGAAAAATGCAAACGCTAAAAATATCATTAATGATGCCTTCTAAAAATTGATCTAAAAAGATTTTCCTTTCTGCTTTATAGAATTAAGATTATATAAAACCTATATCTGAGTATTGAAATAAAACGTGACTTCGCGGTTCATTCTAACTAAAACATGTTAAAATCTCAAAAATTAATGCGGCCTCTTGAATAATCCTTCTACCCTGCTTATTGGACTTTCAGGTCCCACCATTTGTCTACCTCGGTTGCTTAAGAAGTCTCTTATGTGCTGCACTATCAGATCTATCGCCACTGCAACAGATCACGAAACATCAGTACATAATCGCGAATATATACGCAATTACGTTAGGGATAAGATGAATTGCTTTATTTGCAATATACCATTATACATTTTGGAACAATATCAAATTGTGGATATTTGGAGAATTAATTGTTACTATTTCAAATAATAACTGATCGCATTAGGATTACGTATGGTTTTATTATGTATAACACACATGTGTTTATACTGTTTTGTAAATACAAGAAATCTTTTTGTTATTTTATTAACAATATGCAATAGTGTCCCAGAACTGGTACTCTCTTTCTCTCTTTCGCACTCTTTCTCAATTACAGGTATTCATTGATTCAGATTAGTAATCTCAAAATCGAAACTTCAATAAAACTTACTAAAATTTAAGCTATATATAGTAACAAATTAAAAAACTTTAATAAATTAAGAAGTTAACGAACCAAAAGATTTTAACAAATTTAATTCAAATTTAATTATTATTTATATATTGAAAATAAGAAAGAGGTGCAATGTTGTATGTATGATCTTATAGAATCATGATCCTATTGAGAATTACATTATATTAAACAAAATTTTGAGATTTTTACTATACAGAAAGGAACTAATTATTTGGACATATCTTGTATGCCTGTACGTAACGATATACAAGAATTAATATGATAGAATGCAATAGAGATAAATATTTCGAGATAAGTCTATAAACTAGATAAATTGCATTTTGGCTAATTATGCTAGGAAATACTTGCATGTGATTACATTTCTAAAGTATTATGCAAAATGCAAATGCAAAATATATGAAGTTATTAAAAATTGAATGGTCTTATAGAGATGTCTAAAATGCAGGAAATAGAAGTAACTAGTTATTGTAACTGCCATTACTTAGTTACTGTGTTGTAATAACGATTTGGTGATGTATTGCGAATTTTTTATGATGATAATGTAACACCAGAGTTGAAATAGTCATAATTACTTAACGGAAAAGTCATTCGTTATTGAAAGAATTAATAACTTACAATTTGTAACTAGTTACTTTTTAATGTAAGTTGTAACGGAATAACTTTATACTTATTACTTTTTTTAATAAGTAACACGTAATGGTGACAATTTACTTTTTAAAGTGACTTTCCTAACCTTAGCGTAATCTCAGCGTTCAGTTAGTCATTATTATAGTCATAAAAAATTTCAACATCATTATCAAATTATTATTATAAAAAGTAACTAAAAATAACCGCAAAGTAACTCTTCCATTCCCTGTTAAAATGTATACGGTATTTAAAATACATTTGTACACAACATACAAGTTTACACACATATCACAGATACAATATCGCACAGACTCATACATATTCTTAAGTTTCTTTTATCATTTATATAATACTTGAGACATTGTCCAGAAAATTAAGTCATCTAGATAGTTATGTGATATGATATTAAATTATAAATGGTAAAGGATAACCGAATAAAAACATTTCATAGAAATTCATTTAATGCAACTGAATTCCTAACGTTTCGAAATCACGAAAAATTACTAAAATTTTTTAATTTTTATTTAATTTCTTATTATAAAATTGAGAAATAAATAATGTTAAATGATGAAAACAATATAAATTAAAACAGTCGTTCCTATCCTCTCAGTTTAAATGGTTCGACATAGTACATAGTTTAAGTACATTATTACTTATTACTACAGTTTTCATATAAAAAAATGTAGAAACATTATATACTTCTTTAGTAAGTAGACGTAAGAAATATAAAAAGGCGATGTTAGTTATATTGATAATATAGAAATTTAAAAAAAGATGTTAAAAAATATTAAAATAAAATCCAGAGAAAAATTAAAAATTCAATTGTGTTGACTGTATTGTTGTCAACCCCTTTTAATTCACCTATTTTTTTAGTGGATTTACACAATTTCATGCATTTTTCAATGATTTAGAATCGTTATTCTTACACTTAATGTATTTAGTCAGAATAAAATGTACATAAAAAACACCATTTTCTTCGCCATGTAAGTGTAAGGTATAATCCGTCAAAGAAACATAATACATAGTTGGCGAATAAACAATGTCCGTTTTCATCACATAAAATTGAAATTGTTAAAGACATGTATTTAATTGATCACAATCTAACATTTTTGTATCACAGTAAAAATAAAAATTCTAGACATTAGTAAATATCAATTCTCATATAAAAATTTAATATTTTACACGGTTATTGATAGATCTCGACAGAAGTTATTCTAATCTAATCAGACAAATATCATAGCAAAAGTATTTATCGCATCTATTTGTTTTTTTTTCTTTTATTTAATCAACATACTATTTATGTTATATGTCTTTATGTTATATGATCTCTTTTAAGTTACTGCCAATTGATATATTAATGATATAAAAGTGAGTAATCTTGCATTCAAAAACGGACATTACTTTTCCGTTTATTATTAGAAAAAGGGATTGGAAAATGTCTCATAGAATTCAGTCATACATAAGAGCGTGATTTAGAAAAAAATGCAGTGCTTGACAGAGTGAGCTTATCATGCTTAAGTCATCTGCTGAGCGTGTCGGATGAGGCCGAAGTACGCCTACGCTGGTGGAAGAATGGATGCTGCCCGGCTGAGTTTTCGGCGTTTTTCAAACGCATAATATCCCAGATGTGGTGCACTATTAGATCTATTGCCACTGCAAACATACAACAACCAGACCATATAGGTTTCCCGTGAGATATTCTCTGTCTCTTTTAAACTTTCGCTTAGTTTAAGTAGGTGTAGCTCTGACATCCACAACCACAGCATACCAGGCAGCACCCATGAGATATATAACAAGTTGAAAATGGATGCAATTTAAATATACAAATAAAAAGAAAATAAAAATTTACTGTGTAAATAATCCCATATTATTAAAACATATATATATATATATACACAAAATTTGGATGTATACAATTAATTATTATTAAATGTATAAATAATTAATTGATATGTGTATCCAAGTTTCATATAATGATTGGATATTTTAGGGATTATATCAAACTGTACAATTAATATATAAGTCTCCCATATGTATAGATAAGTGTGATATCAAATAAAAGTGTGATATCTCCATATTAGATGATCATGTATCTTGACTTGTTAATCTGATTAAACCATATCTAATTTAAAATTTCAAGTTTTCTTTAATTAAAATATGATAAACATTATTATTATTACTGAATACATGTTTAATTACTGTTCGCTATAATTCTTGGATGTTTTCTAATTGCTTAACACATCTTGACACAAATGTAGGAAATCAATTCATATATTTTTTGTGTTACTAAATAATTCAATTTTTTTAAGGTTTTAAAGTTATCATGACAAAATTTATATATTATTATATTTTAATAATTTTAATTGATAATTCAAATATTTACGGGAATGTTCATTATAATTTATCTTAATTCTAAAAATTAGAGTATATATTTATATATTTAAAATATATATTTCACTTTGCAATATTAAATATTTTTATAAAATTTCAAATTATAAAATCAGAGTCAATAATCATAATTCATAGAGGAATGTGTGTGAATCTTTATCTATTAGATTTTGACTATTGAAGTTTTAATAATAAAATCTTTCTTTTTCAATTATTTTTAACTCACAATCAAACTATTAATTACTTTATTAATAGTTATTATTAGTTAATAAATTTTTTAATAACTCTTGTAAAATAATCATAATTTCTTTTCATTTTTACTACATATTTCATTCTCTGGCATTTACATTTAAGAAGAAAAAGAACAGCTCTAGAATGCTTTACATATGTCCTTATTGTAATCTTCCTGTAACCAGTAATAACAATAATTATAGTTAAAATAACTAAAGCATATTTTACTTATTTGTATCATTTTGAATTAATTTATCAGAAAAAAACTTGAAAAATTAAATTTTGATTAATATCACAATTAAACATGAGATCTTTTTGAATGAAATATTATGATAAAATGCTATAAAAACCGAGAAAAAAAGATTAAAAATGTTTATATCTGACAAACACACTAAATTCACAAACGATAAACCCACTAATGAACATTAAGCGAGAGATATCAAATAATTACAATAGCAATACAAATATTGTTATGCATATAATAATGTATTTACCTGTGTTGTCTGCTCCCCTTGGTATTATAACATCCGCAAACTTTTTTGTTGGCAAACAAAACTCCTCGAAAGCTGGTTTTACAAAGTTCATATATTGATTCAGGACATAATCCAAATCCCTTCCACGTTCTTTTATATCTCTTGGCACTGAAGAAATCAACAATGTTATAATAACATGATACGAGATACTCAAATTACTGAAATGATATGCAGAGCATTTACCTCTTCTTGCAAGTCTGGTATCAGAATCAGTATCCACAAACAATTTCATGTGAAACAAATCCCGAATTTTGGGAAAATAAAATACCAGTATTCCTTCAAACAGTACCACATCTGCGGGATATATTGTGGTAACTTGATCTTTCATTCTGAAAATTTGTAAATTTTTTTTATAATTTTGTAATTCGCCTAAGATTTTCATATGTAAACATCTTTTAATTCACCAGATCTTATTTAGTTATTTTACATTATAGTTTATTCCTATTAATTGTGTATATGTATATATATGTACACTGCATTATCAACAATCATAAAGATAATTTTTAACTTTAATTAAAGTAATACATACAAACTGTTTGTCCTGTAATCATAAGCAGGTATCTCACACTTGACACCAGCAAGTATATCCTGCAGCGTTTGCAAGATTAGATCATCGTCAAAGGCATCAGGATGATCAAAATTATACTGCCCCTTCTCAGCTTTCACTTTCTCAGCAGGTGTTAAGTCACGATAGAAGCTGTCTTGTGATATACAGACTACCCGACGCTGTTGATGATCCATGTCGACTTGCCCTAGTTTTTCCATAATACGCTTGCACACTGTAGACTAAAAAAATATAATTTGTCAATATATATGATCATCTCATTGATTTCACCATTCTTATTAATCTTTATATTAAATAAATGAAGTAAAAATTATGACTAATTCATATATTACATAAAGAAAATCTACTGCAGATTATAGAAGTATTTTCTTTTACAAACAGTTGCTATAAAAAAATATGAGTTTATGGAAGTTAAAAATAGTAATTGAAACATATCTCTTCATATTATGGAATGCCAATGACATAAAATTATATGGAATAAAAAAAATAACGAAGAAGTTGTGAATTTCTGAAAAGTAACTTGTGTAATTCATGCTTCTCTCTCAACCCTAAGATTAGCCGTTCGAATGTATATTGTAAATTAATTCCATAGAATTAGAATTACCAGTTAAGAGTACATACTCTTTTTGGTCATAAAACTTCTGGTCATATCTATTATATAAAATTAATTAAAATCTTATATAGAAAATGTTAATAGGAATTGTAAATAAGAGTTATGTTCTAGAAATCTTCGTTCTAGAAATCTTCGTTCTAGAAAATTTCATTAAATACCTACAATATCTTTTAACACATAAAAAATTTTACTCCTTTTCACTCCCGAACAATTTTTTTTAAGTATATGTACATATGTATTCTTTTCTTGTGATTCAAATGTAATAATTCTACGCAGATATAGACACAGATATACCTTTCCGCTTGCAGTACCGCCGGAGACACCTATTAGGAAGGGTGTTTTGCTCTCGACGCCGTTGAGTTTGCCGTTGATGCCGAAAGACATTTTCCGCGTGATACCCACGTTCGCTGGCATATCTGCCATGTCGAGCACACGAGGTAATGTCGACCTGATGTCGCTGAAAATGGATTTTCACCGGCGCGTAGTCGAGCACGATTGCCAGGAGCAGCTGGACGTCGTCGGCCTGCGACGTGTTCCTGGATGCTGACGTGGAGCTCGATGATCACCGTCCTCCACTGAGATTGACTGTGATCGCTCGTAGAGGAGCAATAAAAAGGAGCAGTAAAACGGCGCACGTCAGAGCGGATCAGCCGACCACGTGTGTGTATACCGGGAGCGTTCTGTTCAACTACGTTGTGATTGGCCGCAGCGAGCGCGGCTACTCATAGCGATTTCACTGGACGGTCAATTGGAATGTTCTAGTTGAATTGGGACGATTTTTTTTTAGGTCTATTCGTACTGCATTTTTTGCATTCGGAATCTTCGCTTTCTCTTACTTCAACACTTGAATATGTATTTGTCTCGTTTAATTTTAGGTGCAACAACGTATTATAAGGTCTGTTCGCGTTGCTTGCACTTTTGGCACTCGGCATCTTCGCTTTCTGTCTTTTCAAGGCCAAATATATATCTATCTCATTTTAAGTGCAAAAATATTTGGGGATTTCATGCAACGCGAACAGACCTATAATTTTGGGAATTTTAAGTAATAAATTAAGCCTGTTCTTTTTGGCTGAACTTTTGCATCAGTTCATCTTTTTTCCTTTTCTCTTCAGGGAGAAAGAAGAGGAAGAAAGATGAACTGGAGCAAAAGTTCAGCCAAAAAGAACAGGGGCCTATTATTTATAAACTTCAGTTGCCAGCGTCTTCTACTAGAAAAACTAGTGCAACATTAGGTCTGTTCGCGTTGCATGAAATCCCCAAATATTTTTGCACTTAAAATGAGATAGATATATATTTGGCCTTGAAAAGAGAGAAAGCGAAGATGCCGAGTGCCAAAAGTGCAAGCAACGCGAACAGACCTATTGACGCACACTGAGTGCAATTGAATGCAAATCAACTCACGTGTTTTCAGTGTTAATAAATAATTTAACTTTTCTAATTACAAGTTCTTTGTTGTTACGATAACCTCATAATCTTGAAAGGATTAAATTATTTATTTACACTGAAAATATGTAAACCAATTTGCACTTAATTGCATCAGTGTTGCACTAGTTTTCCCAGTGGAAAACTATGGGTGCGTTCAGCAGAACGTTTGTTTTGCAACTGTTGGAAGTTTCCTTCGCGCTGATTGGATCATACTTTTAGATCTAGAAGAATGGTCCTATCTCAGCAGACAATCATAAAACGGTTGCAAAACTGTTGAGTCTGCTGAACGCAGCCATTATTAGGTTTGTTTTTTTATTGCTGTACTAGAACTTAATTCTTTTTCGCTTTCGCCAAATGTCAAACATATATTCATTTCACTTTAAATGCAAACGAGTGCACATAAAGACTCTATGGGTGCGTTCCATTTGACACTCATAATGCTTGCGAGTATTATTTGTCCTTGTTTAACATTTGATAAGTAACAGAGATAAAATGATTTCATGGGTATTGCGAGTATCAAGTGGAACGCACCTTATGTCCGTGTCACACTACGCATTGGAGACTGAGGATTGCGAATTGAGGATTAGAATTCAGCCAATTAGAACGAAACGGATTAAACTTAAAATTACCTGATTGGTCGAATTCTAATCCTTAATTCGCAATCCTCAATCTCCAATGCGTAGTGTGACACGGGCATTAGGCTGGAATCAGACTACGCATTGAAGATTGAGGTTGAAGATTGGAGATTGAAATTTGACCAATAAGGACAAAGAAATTTTAATTCCTTTCGTTTCGATTGGTCAAATTTGAATTTTTCAATCTTCAACCTCAATCTTCAATGCGTAGTCTGATTCCGGCCTTAAAGCCTTGTGTCCACGATGCTAGAAATTGGTCCGAGATCTCGGAAAGAGAAAGAATTAGTCAATCACATTTAAACAATTTAGTCACATGATCAATGCGATTGATCAATTCTTTCTTCATCCGAGATCTCGGACGGATTTCTAGCATCGTGGACACTGGGCTTTAGGCTGGAATCAGACTACGCATTGAAGATTGAGATTGAAGAGCGAAGATTGAAATTTGACCAATGAGAACAAAGGGAGTTTTAGCTTCTATTGTTTTGATTGGTGAAATTTCAATCTTTCATCTTCAATGCATAGTCTGATTCCGGTTTTAGGATGCTTTTTATTCGATGATTGCGGAAACAATCGATGATTCTGAACATTGATGATTCATTTCGATGATTCTGAACATTACGGAACGTATGTAGTACACGAGTCGAAAGTATTAGTATTAATTAATATTAATTCATATTTTACGATTTAATAATACTCATTAAAATAAAATATTACTTCATACAGAAGCGATACATATTTCAAGATTGCTTGACACTCGACAAGAAAATAAACGCATTTGACTCTTTTTGTTATCGTTCGCTCGATAGTTTTTTTCAGCAACGTAATCTCTCTACCTTGAACGCGTTCGACTGAAGTCAAACCAGCTTCAAAAATCAAGATTATTATTACATCCCGACAGATACAACCGATCGAACCGTTTACGATCGAAGAGGGCAAGATAACTTATAAAATCGAAAATCTCGAATTTTCGACGGATTTAAACGACGTTAGCGAAAATACGATGGTCGAATCACGTGAGTTATCGAGCGGTCGTGGCACCGTACGCAACACCAGCACTTCCGTTTCCGCGAACGGTTACGTTCGCCATTTGGGTCGTGACCACGGAGTCGTGACCGTCATTAAAGGTTAAGGGCCTGAGATCGTCGCCCGCGACGAAAGGGGAGGCCGACTGCTCCCTGGAGAACGAGCGTTTCGCTCATCGCTGTTCGCGTCATCCCTGTGCAGCACCGCATCAACTGCCGGCCGTCGTCACATCGAGACACATTTTACTACTTTGGCACTGACGAAACATGGCTTATTGAAGAAGATGAAGGGTGCGCGCAAATATATCGTTTCTCCGAGGAGAGGAGACGGAGGAGACTGCAGCTGCGACGAGGCGAGTTACCAGACTGACTACAGTCGATTCGCAAATGGATATAAAGTCAAAATTCACGCTGTCCCCTGCGAGGGGGACTGCTGCTGATGCAAGAAAGAACAAAGGTACGTCCTCAAGGTCACTTGCTCAGAGAGTCTTAGTTCAAATAAACAAGTTGTTGTTAGTGCCTCTTGACATCTTATGTATATTTCACTGTGATGTGTATCCTTTCAGATGTCAATAACGAGCTCCATCTGGGAACTTTGCGCAGAAGAGAACTTACTGGCGCCAATAACGTCCCTGATAATGTACAGCCGACAAAGTACAATGTACAGAAAACAAAAGATCTTGTTAAGAGACAGAGACCTAAAGGACAATATCATGGCGGTGCAGAGGAGAATTCCAAGGTCGAGTCTACATTTGAATTATGCTCCTTTTTTAATTTATTACCATATTTTATATATCATGTAATTTTCATATCTATAGGTAGTGGAGGAGAAGTTGCCTGAGTATGGCTCAGTATTGGTTCAAAGAAGCAAAAAGAACGGCAATCACTTGCTGAATTTTCATTACGAGCGATACGTGATGCGAGATGCACAAAACAGGGATGTAGGGAGACATAATTCCAACAGTAATAGATTGCTGCCACCAGTGCAGCGGCATAAATACAACAAGGAACAATTTGTACAAGCTAGGTAGTAATTATACAATATAAATGGATACTTTCTATTTCTCCTGATACTCTATTATTCATATAAATTCACAGATATTATCTGGATTAAAATCATACATTTTCTTATCTATTACTTAAAGTCAGAGTAGCTAGTTAATTTAATGTATAAACTATGCATACGCGAGATATTTTATAAATTTATTGTAGCTTATTTATGTGGAAATGTTTCTTGGACAAGTTTCTTGAGTGTGCTCAGTAGGATTATTTTATGTAGAACTCACACATACACACAATTATGTTACATTTCATTTAACATTTTTTGGATAGAATCTCGAAATCTGGTTACTTGATTTCTTAGTCATGCAAATTGAGTGTTGAGATATTCGCGTAATATTCAAAATTATATATTTGGTATTAACAATAAGTATATAAAAATAATTTTTATAAAACTATGTTAAAAATATGATATACTCTTATATATTTTTATGTATATTTCTAGTTGCCAATTTGTTGTGACTGCAAGTAGAGATTACTCCTTGCATTTGACTAACCCAGATATTCTCGTGGATTGGAAATCGATTGAACAAATTGTAAGTTTTTTCATTACAAATCAGCAATTTTATTGTCGCATAAAGTTTCTTGCAAGAGACTCGTACATATTGATATACGCGAGTAAATTAAATCTGATTTAATTTATTTACAGATATTACACAATTCAGAAAATCTCTCTTGTCCTATTTGTTTACATCCACCAATCGCAGGCAAAATGACACGCTGTGGTCATGTTTATTGCTGGCCTTGTATTCTCCGTTATTTACGTTATTGTCAAGAAACAGGCAATTATAAATGTCCGATTTGTGATGAATATCTTCACAAAAATGATTTGAAGAGGTAATTTTGCATAAAATTATAATAAATACATATATTACATGAAGAAATATTTATGAATATATTTTAACTGTTTTTATATATATATATATATATATCTTTTAGCGTGGATTAGATTACGCGCAGGTTATTTAATTTGGGCGAAACAGTCAATCTATGTTTGATGCGTCGTGAAAAGAATTCTTTGTTTGCAACGCCTGTGAAATCTGCTGTTCAATCCCCGACAACGTTTTTGTCTGTTTCGGAGAATGCTGATAATCAAATATATTCGAAACTTCTTATCGCAAATGTGAATGATGTAAGTTAAAAAAAAATATATTAAAAACTATTTATTATATATGTACAAGAGTAATAGCGTGGATGAAAATTGTCTTCAGATTGTAAACATCTTAGAGTGTGAGAATTCAGAATTAGAACTTGAGTTGAAGATTAATCCAGCCATGGCTCTTGATATCAAGCAAGCGCTCAGTGAATTATCAAAGAGGAAAGAAAAACTATTGTGGCAGGTAATATTAACTGTATAATTGTATATGCATTATTCCACATAACAGAATACTAAAAACTATAAAATGTATATCAGATTGCAGAATCTAAAGATGCTCCATTGACTGAAAATATAACGGAAAAAGAAACTGCTGAAGAAACATCGCAAAAATATGAAGTAGATGTTGATACATGCAAAGATGATGACAAGTTTTTAGCAAAACAGTCTTCGACAGACAGTGTTTCCAGTGATAGCCAGACTGCTTCAAGTCCTAGCAAATTTTCTTACTTTTATCAAGGTAAGTAATTTTGCAAACTATCAAAAATTTAATTTTAAATCTTTTATGCTACATGATACTAAGCATTTTCGAATCAGAAATACAACTGATACAGTAAATCATCTCATTTTTGTTGTTTGTCAATGTTGTTAGGATGATTCACTATGTAATACTGCATCATTTGTCTTGCTGGAAAGCTCCATGATTTCAGTGATTATAATGTTATATTAATAAACTTTTTTTAGCGGAGGATGGACAGCATATGTATCTACACGCGGCGAATGTGAAAATGCTGGAAATGCAGTATGGCAGTTTGGAATACTGTCCTCCTGTAATTACGGGTAAGCTTCTCGAAAAGGAAGCAAGCATCTGCACGGAAGAGTTAAGACGAAGATTACGGTATCTTTACCACTTACCACTTACTTGTCCATTTGAATTGGCTGAAATCGAGTTAAAACCACCATTAGTATCAGGGGAAGTCCTTCGTGCTTTTCATGGTGATTATCTCTTATAATATTTTATAATTTATATTACTGACATACAACACTATTCAGTTATTGATTTTTTTTATTAGAGCAACTAAATTCGAGACAGAAGTACAGAGAACAAAGAGAACGCGAAGAAAGAAAAAGAGAGAAAAAGATAATCGAAGAAGAAAATAGACAAATTGGCATATATCCAACGCCCGACATAGATATTGAATCCTATCAACATTTTCCTCAATTGCAATCAGAATTACAATTGTCCAAGTAAGAGCACACAAATAATCATTATCTTTATTTTATTGCTATTTTATTTAAGTTTATAGATGTTGCATTCTGTCGTATACAAAAATTATAATTTTATTCATCATATTCTGATGTAGCGAGAACGTTCTGTCACCTTCTGAATCAGTTATGTCAAGTATTGCTAGTAGTCCAGTTTTGAGTGCGTTTGAAGAAATTGCTCCAAAACAAGAAACGGATCATTCGCGCGAACAAACTCGAACATTCGCGGACATAACAAAGATATCAACAATACCAACAAAGATGTCTAATAAATCCGCCAATGTATGGCCAGTCGTAAGATCAAAGACGCACTCTAGTACGACAAATGCATGCTTCAACAAAGACGAAGAAGTATTGTCAAAAACGCATAAGTCGACTAATGCTTGGCCGCCTGTTAAATCAGGAATGTTCGCTGGTACACCAGGTACCTCGATTAATGAAGATGGGAAGAAAACGTACGTTTCTGAAGGTAAGTCGCATATTTGAACCAAATAAATTAGCATTATACGAATACAAATTTTTTGATCACTTATCCAAACTTATTTTCAGAAGCAAAAGACGAAAGTAATGCGTTTGGCAAAAAGAAGAAGGCTAAAAAGAAAGGAAAAGGAACCGTACTATTCACAACTGGTATGACATCTGGTTATTCTTTATAATTACCATATATTATCATGGTTTTATTGCTATTCACGCGCTGTGCGTAATGATAATTTGAAATGTAGAATTTTATTGGATCGATAGTAGAAAATTTGATTTCATTTACAGCTCTTGCCACCATTGTTTGATGTACTAAAAATACGTACGGCATACGTATTAAATATCCTTATTTGTCTATACTGAAATTGTAATTATTTGCTATAGAAAAAGAAAAGATTGTTTGCCAAAGTTCTCGATATTGCGCTCACAAATAAAATTTTACTTCATTTAAATATTTGTTTATTCATTAGAAATACCTTTCTCTTCCTCTAACCTCATACCTCTAAATAAAAAGAATCTGCGTTCGTTCTACTAGCACGAATTAAAGCGAGAAGTTGGACACAGATAAAATTACAACTTCTAATATGGTTATTAATTTATCTTCTTTTCTATCTTTTGATATTGCTACGAATGTTACACGTTGTGTTCAGATATGCACTGCCAATACTGAAAATATACACTGTACACTGTACATAACGTTAATTATAAATTTTCAGTACTAGTGCGTATCGGAACATAGTCGCAAACAAGAAAATTTTCTAATCATTGAGGTACGGTTATTATTTATAAATATATTGTAATTTAAATTATATCAAATTATCGTACCATTCTATGTATTTATTATCGGGATAAAAGAAGAATGCAATATTAAATTTTGGTAATCGCTCTATATTTACGAAGTTTGGAACATAGAAAATTAACAACAGATCGTCTCAAGAATAAACTATAAGTACAGTACGATAATAAAATAAATTATAGGATACATTTACTTCAAAGTAGAAAATGGTGAAATAGAGGAACTTGTTTAAAAGACGACGCTAAAAAAAAGTATGCAAGGAATGATTAGAGCAAAGACCGTAGCTGTATAATAGTTCTATGTTCGTTTATTCGTTTTTTTTTCTTAATCGTTTATTTTTTTTTTATCAAGGAATGCGTATTGCGCAGAGGGTGACCACGGTGATGGGCAGTGGCGAGAAAGTCAGGGACGATTTTTTTTAGTCGACCTCCTCAATGGTGGGTCCAGATGCACCGCCGCTGCTAGGTGCTCCACCGGGAGCGGCGCCGCCAGCTCCGGGGAAACCACCCGGCATGCCACCGGGCATACCACCGGGACCCTGGTACAGTTTCGTAACGATGGGGTTACAGATGGCCTCGAGCTCCTTCTGCTTGTGCTCGTATTCTTCTTTGTCGGCCAGCTGGTTCGCGTCGAGCCACTTGATGATGTCGTTGCACTTGTCCAGGATTGTTTGCTTGTCCGTCGCGCTGATCTTGTCCTTCAGCTTCTCATCCTCGACTGTGCTCTTCATGTTGAAGCAGTAAGACTCGAGACCGTTCTTGGCAGAGATCGTTTCCTTCTGCTTCTCGTCCTCACTGCGGTATTTCTCTGCCTCGTTCACCATTCTTTCAATATCCTCCTTGCTAAGTCGACCCTTGTCGTTAGTGATAGTGATCTTGTTCTCTTTGCCAGTAGACTTGTCCACGGCGGAGACATTGAGGATACCGTTCGCATCGATGTCGAACGTCACCTCAATCTGAGGAACTCCACGAGGTGCTGGTGGGATACCACTAAGCTCGAATTTGCCCAGTAGATTGTTATCTTTGGTCATGGCGCGCTCACCCTCGTAGACCTGAATCAACACACCAGGTTGATTGTCGGCATAAGTTGTAAAGGTCTGAGTCTGCTTTGTCGGGATGGTTGTATTCCTCTTAATGAGCGCGGTCATGACACCGCCGGCAGTCTCAATACCCAGAGAGAGCGGAGTGACGTCAAGTAGAAGCAAGTCTTGCACCTCCTCGGATTTATCACCGTGCAAGATAGCCGCCTGTACTGCTGCGCCATATGCCACAGCTTCATCAGGATTGATAGATTTGTTGAGCTCTTTGCCATTGAAAAAGTCCTGTAGGAGCTTCTGAATCTTGGGGATTCGTGTAGAGCCTCCGACTAAGACGATATCGTGGATTTGAGCTTTGTCCATCTTGGCGTCGCGCAGCGACTTCTCGACGGGTTCAAGAGTACCGCGGAAGAGATCCGCGCAGAGTTCCTCGAAACGAGCTCGGGTGATAGAGGTGTAGAAATCGATTCCCTCGTACAACGAATCGATCTCGATGCTGGCCTGAGTGGAGGATGACAGGGTGCGCTTTGCACGTTCGCAGGCCGTGCGTAGACGACGAAGAGCGCGTTTATTCGAAGTCAAATCCTTCTTGTATTTGCGCTTGAATTCTTGCACAAAGTGATTGACCATGCGGTTATCGAAGTCCTCACCACCCAGATGAGTATCTCCAGCCGTGGACTTGACCTCGAAGATACCATCTTCTATAGTTAGGATGGACACGTCGAAAGTGCCACCACCGAGATCAAAGATAAGGACGTTTCGCTCGCCGGTGGCCTTCTTGTCGAGACCGTATGCAATCGCGGCGGCGGTGGGCTCGTTGATAATACGCAATACGTTCAAACCCGAGATGGTACCAGCGTCCTTGGTTGCCTGACGCTGCGAGTCGTTGAAGTAAGCGGGGACGGTGATCACAGCGTTGGTGACAGTCTTGCCTAAGTATGCCTCTGCAGTCTCCTTCATTTTTACTAAGACCATCGAACTCACTTCTTCGGGGAAGAAAGTCTTCGTCTCTCCTTTGTACTGTACTTGGATCTTTGGCTTGCCACTATCGTTTATCACATTGAAAGGCCAATGTTTCATGTCAGCGAGGATGGTCGGATCCTCGAACCGACGTCCGATCAACCTTTTGGCATCTAATTAATCAAAAAGAAAAAATAGAGTTAGTTACACTGATCACTTCCAGATAGATATTTAAGACAACAGACAAAAAATATAATATTGTTACATTATAGCACTTTTATATATATATTTAAGAAGTATATTTAAATTATTTACGTTTTGTTTATTTTGATTAATAACGAATTTACTAATTAATCAAATGTTCAAGTTAATACTCTGAGACCAATTACGATATTTTTACATTTATTTAAGAATTATATATTGGGTGAGTGCAAAAATTCGTGCCCAATTTATTATTCAAAATTCAAACAGCTGCTATTTTTGTTAAAAATAAAATAAAATCTAAATTTTACTCTATCTGATGAGAGAATTTAAGACTGTTTTTTTAAATTGTGATGACATAGTTATGAGCAATCAAAGTAAAAATATTCTTTTTATTTAATTCACAACAACTCAGTAACAAAAAATCGTAGGGACATTTTTTAAAAACGATTTTATAGGAAAAACTTTAAGGTTTCACATTAGAAATTAAAGAATTTTTGCAAATTTTTTTGGACATGACAAGCCCATAAAATGAAGAAAAAATTTCCCGTTTTTTTTAACTCGTAGTTTTCTATATGTAAAAATTATATTTCACATAAATTCAAAAAATATAGTAATCATTCGAAAATAGAGATTTTATATATATAAGTTTTAAAACCCTCTTTTAATTTAAATTTCGTCCATTTTTAACAAAATTGCAGCTGTTTGAACTTTGAATAATAAATCGCGCAAGAATTTTTGCACTCATCTTATATTTATTTGTTTCTTACTTATTTCAATTAATGATTCAACTAGTTTATCAAATGTGCATATACAGGGTGTTTCCAAATTAAATGGCAAAACTTCGGGAGCGTGTAGAGGAGTAAAAAACTAAGAAAAAAAGTCCTATAGACATATGCTCGTTTTTGCTCCGTTTCAGAGAAATCGAAAAAAAATGTTTACATTTCTTGCCATATCTAGCACCGACATATTTGATTACATTTTCCACTTTCTGTTATGAATTTGTCAGTCGCTCTTTGAAAGCCTTTAACAGTAGATGAATTTTGTCTTTTGCAATATGCCGCGTACGTATTCTAATAGTGAATATGCTGATATGGTTTT